AATACCAAATCACAATGTATTATTTCAAACTTGTGTAAGTGCTCGAGTCCGTTTGCTATCTCAAGGTTTGGGGAACATAGTAAATAGGTGAATTTGATCGTATGATTCCCAATTTTGAAATAGCTCAATTTGAATAACGCTCTGACATTATTTTACTGAATAAATAGATATATTTTATATAACATAATAAGTTGTCGAATGACTTTTTTGATGTTACACACTTCTCAGAATGAATTAATATAAATAAAATCGAAATCAAGAACAGCCTAAAATTTTAGTAAAATGAACGTTTGTTGGAAAATTAAAGACGTCGAAAATTTCAATTATGCTGAATTTGATGCTATTAAATTTATTGATAAAGGTGGATTTGGAAATATTTATAAAGCGACTTTTTCAGGAAAGGATGTTGTTTTGAAAGATGGAAAGGAAGTAAATTTGCATAATGAGGTAATAAGTGTTTTTCAATCAAGGAACCATTGCAAAAGTCAGATTCTCATTCTTTTTTTTTCAAATTTTGCAGATAACACTTCTTAAAAAAGTTTGCCCCCATCCAAATATCAACTCACTCCTTGGAATTACTAAAGGTTTCTATTAGTTTAAAAATTTTAAAGTTTATGTTAAAATTTATTTATTTATATAAATTTAAATTACATTTGTGATATAATTAGATCCGAAAAACGAACGTGTTATGATGGTCTTAAACTATGCAAACGAAGGCAATTTTTTTAATTTTCTTCAAGAAAATTGGCTAAATTTATCTTGGAAAAAAAAGATAAAATACGCCCTTGAGATAGCAAACGGACTCGAGCACTTACACAAGTTTGAAATAATACATTGTGATTTGGTATTTATTTTATTTTTTTGTTTTCTTTTATGTTTTTATGTTACACAACATGCCTAAAGTTTGTTTGTTTTTTTAACATTGTAGCATCCTAAAAACATTCTCGTTGACAATGGTGTGTTGAAGATAACTGATTTAGGGTGTTCAAAGATTTTTCGTGAAAATTCGGTATCCAACTCATATCCTTGTGGAATAATTGCATTTGTCGATCCCCAATGCTTCATCAGCCTAAGTCAAAAATTTAAGAGAAATTATAAATCGGATATCTATAGCTTTGGCATGATCATGTGGTTTATTTCTACTGGACGCATGCCTTTTAAAGATATTAATCCATATACCCTTATTCAAGAAATACTCAAAGGATTAAGAGAAGAAGATTTATCTCAAAAAACACCTCCTGAATACATTGAAATATACAAGAAATGTTGGGATTTGGATCCAGAAAAGCGACCTCAGCTGATAGAAATAAAGGAGGCGTTAGAAAATCTTAAAAACCAGATAGAACTATGTTGGGAATATTCATATGATTCCATAGAACCAAAAGAAAATCTCCAAATTTCCCAAATCAAAATACCATCTAATCATATATATTCTGCCGATTCTATCTCGTATGTTGTTTCTACTTCAAACTTTGATTCAAACATATCCGATTTGGTTAAAGAATTTAGAGATATAATTATTAAGGACAAACTTGTAGGCTCACTAAAAACAAAAGAAGCGTTTCTAAAATTTATGAAGGACCATGAAAATGAGGCACCAAAAATTTTTAATTCATTACAAGCAATGCAACATGAACAAAAAGATCTATTTTTAGCCATATCATATTTTCATGGATTTGGAGTAGAAAAAAATGTCAAAAAGTATTTGGAAAGCCTTGAAAAAGCATGCTCAAAGGATGTTGTGTTTGCAATCTCCGAATTAGCTACTTGTTATTTTAAGGGTGTTGGAGTTGAAAAAAATCTGGAAAAGGCATTTGAACTTTATAAAATATCAGTTGAACGTGGGTTCTTGGCTGATAAATGTTTATTGAGCGAGTTTTATTATTATGGTATTGGTGGAGCAGAAAGAGACCCAAAACTTGCATTACATTTGTTAAAAAGGTCTGCTACAGTTGGGTACGTTCCTGCAATGTATTGGTTAGGATATTGTTATCAATATGGAGTAGGTGTTACTCGTGATTTTGAAAAGGCTGTCAACCTATATCGCGAAGTTATTCAAAATGGTGATTATAAGGATGCAAGAAAAAAACTAGAGGTACAGTGTGTTAAGAAAAAAACCGGAAAATTTTGCACATGATAAAAATTAGTGTAACTTGCCCAATTTAAATCGGAT